GAAAGGCCTGGGATGGCCCTTTGGTGAAGACCCTAAGGACCACATCCTTTCTGCATCATGTAAATCTCTTAGAGTCTGTCTTAAAAACCTCTGCCTTTCTACCCTGTGACCGCAGCTCCTCTGGATTTTCTTTTCATGGGGATGAACCCCTGGACTTGCGCCTTAGCCCTGGATCTCCTCCAGTCAGTGGAGTTATTTCCATTACTATGGTCACTTTTGGGCCCAATTAACATCTGCTCTGTAGTGGCTTTCTGACTGGTCTCCTATGCTCTTGGATTTTGTTTTCTTTTTTCAATGTGGCTGCATCTTTCCCAGTTTGCCTCCCCAAACAGAATGGACCAGGATACTCTGTCCCCCAATTCAAAGGGCTCCTTATTACCTTTAAACCGGAGTCCTCTGTGCTGTGTTGAAGAATTCAACCCGCCTGTCCATCCCCACCAAGCAACTCAAGCACTCCTCAGTCACACACCCCTGAGACTCCATGCGATCACTAGTTCCCGGGTATACCTTCCTTTTCTTTATCCACCAACTACTAGTAACCTCCTACCAACTAGTGGGCACCAGATTGAGCACTGGGTACAGAATGGATCAGATACCAATTATGCCCTCAAGAAGTTGGGCAGGCTGTGGAGATGATTCTATGGACAAGTCAAGATAATACAATGAGACAGGTGCTATAACAGAGATACCATCAAGATATACTGGGAGCAGAGGGAGTGACTACAGGTTTGGGGGAAAGGGTGGCAGAGTGGAGGTGCATTATAAAGGCCTTTACCCAGGTGCTGCTAGTGTAATTTGTAGGGGGAAAAAGGTAATGTCTGCAGAGGAGAAAGAGCAGTTCAAGGTGGTTAAGTGGTTGGTGGCATGGAGAAGTGGTTGGCAGTGAGACCCATAGGTGACAAGAGGCTGCTTTGAGGAAAGATTTTGCGGAGGTGTGAATAGATGAGGACACAGTGGAGGACAGGTTTGAGGGCAAGGAGGAAGAGTTGGCAATTGTCCAGGCAAGGAGGGGGACCATCTGGACAAGGGTAAGAGAATGTAGAAGAAACTGATATGAAAAGACAAAGGCAGAAGAAGGACCACTACGTCTGGGGAGTTTGGGGATGATCATATCAGTAACAGTGGGAAAATGGAAAATAGGGCAGGCTACTTGGGAGATTATCTCAGTGTTAGATTAATGGAATCCAGGGTGTGGGTGTGTCCCAAGGAGCATCCATGGGCTGGGGGAAGCTTGGAACTGGGAAAAGAGGCAAGGACTGAAAGTCTAAATTTTATAAATATCTTTGGGGGAAAATGTGCTTATCCTGTGTCCTAGCAATCCTACTTGTAGGAATCTCTCCTAATGATATAATTTAAGAATGCATGTGAAGATTTATCCTCAAAAATGCTCATTGTTTGTGACAATAAAAGGATGAAAACATTCTATAAACTATTCTGACAGTGAAAAATGTCTAACAGTAGGAATTGGTTAAATAAATTGTGATATATCCATGCAATAGAATTATACTCTGACAATAAAATGGATAATATAAGTGAACACTTACTGACATGAAAAAAAGTACAATATTTTGCTAAGTAGATAAAGGCAGACTAAAACTATAGAATAAAGGTTCCAGTTATTTTTTAAGAAAAAAAAATCAGGACTTTAATGTTGGTTCTTCCTAGGTGGTAGGATTATGAATATGATTTTTTCTTTGTTTTTAGTTTTTCTACATCAATCACATAGGGTATTTGTTATAAGATGATTTTTTTTAATTGAAAAAAATAATAAAAGGAATGACCAGCTAAGGAGCGCTCAGATGTGGAGAAGCTGATCAATGACAGACATCTGATAAGTAACCTTGACTTCTCTGGCTACCTAGCCTCTGACCTGAGTATGTAGTAGCCTATGATCTGAGTATCTCTCCTGCATGGTATTTGCTACATGGCTGTATGGTAGAGAACAAGGAGCCAAGTGCTGCAAACAGTGGGCCTTCTACAAACTTATCCATTTTCTAAGTCTCAATTTTCTCATCTTTATGCTGGAGAGAATAATACTTTTCTCAAAATGGTTATTTAACGATAAATAAAATTTATAGATACCATTAGTTTAGATTGAGCTCCTGCATTAGGCCCAACAGACTTAACCCAAATGGAGTTACTTATGCTGAAGTTCCAAGCCACCAAGTCAAAACTAAGTTGTTAATCTGACCTTTCAAGAAATTATTTGGAGGGAGGGAAGAAGACACACACACACACACACACACACACACCAAACAGGTCAGTTTTAGTAGGCATAATAAGTCCCCTTCCATTTAACCTTTACAAGGAAAGTAACTTAAAATGACCTATGTGATTTTTTTGTTCTCTATTTCTGCTTCTTCGGCCCTTCTCTGTCCATAAAATCAATCTTCTCTGCTCATCTCATTGAAATACTCAAATACATTTTGTAGAATAGGTGATGTCTGATTCTTGAATTGCAAACAAAAGTTAATTAAGATCTCTAAATTTGTTGTAATGCTGTCTTTTGATGCTGACAATAAAATATTTACATACATACATAGTAGCTTAATAAATATTAGTTCATCTTTCCTTTCCTCTTCCTCATTCTTCCCTGCCAGACTCAGATTTGATCTCCAGATTTGATCTCCCAGGGTAGGAAATGAGACAGCCTCTCTCTGGACACAGGTGAGCTCTGTTGGAATTCTGTTCAACACTGAACTTGGCTGGACCTGTAGGTAACAGCCAGCTCTGCTCCCTTCCTGAGTTTGGTCAACTCTCTCCTGGTAGCACCTAGCATACCGCTCTGCACACTGGGGGCGCTGGAATTTTTCTTGACTAAATCTGTGTTGCTTTTTATGACTTAGCTAATCATGGATTACTCAAAGGCTGGATGATTACTCAAGGGTTAGTTTACTCAGATCCCTCGGAATTTTTCTCCTCCCATTCTGTAGCTCTGGCAAGGTTTATATTCCACTCTGCAAATAGATGACCAGCAGAAAGAAATAAGGCAGTTCTTCAGACCGGTAGGTTCCTGGTCATAACCTCTGAGGAGAGGCAGGAGGACCAAGAGGATAAAGGAAGGCTGTTTCTCTCTCCTCTGGTGAGAGGTATGGTCCCCCCACCATGCCTCACCAAGAGGAGACAGCCTGCAGGACGTCTTTACTCTAGGGGAAAACGATGTTGGGCAGACACATCATTTCACAGGCCCAGGTCCCCGCTACAGGCAGTAAAGTCCTCCTCACCCTTGCCTTTGCTGGCCAGCTGAGCAGGAGTATCTGGCCATTATCCCCTCTTCCCAGGTCCTGCCTCAAAGCTTGCTCTGGTGCACATCCTTCCTGAAAACAGCTTATTGAGTCTGGGAGGCAGCCTGGTGCTAAGAAAAGATCTTTGGGTTGAAAGTTAGGAGACCTGTGTGACCCATGGCAAGTTGGTTAAGCTCTTGAAGCCTCAGTTTCCGGGAATAACCACAGAGGCCCTGTCCCCTATCACAGCCCAGAGTTACTGGGAGGGAATCAAATAAGATTTATAAAAGTATTAACAAGTAAACAGCTCTTTATAAACGCCAGGTGTTCCCAGTTCTGTTTGTGGGGTTTCCTCTCTGTAACTATCCACCAAAGCGTTCCTGTCCGCCCCGCCCTGGTTGCAAGGGCCTCACCCACTGCATCTTCATCTTTTCTGTCGTTGTGTTTCTGAGCCTCCGAGATCTTCAGTCTCAGCATCTCCCTTGCCCATTTCCGGGTCTGGCTCTGGGGCCCCTCGGGTCTCTCCAGGGACTCAGTCTCCGGCTCCCTGAGGCTGTCGCTACCCGGGTGCCCCCCGCCCGGCGCGCCCTTCTTTGGCACGGTCGCCGGGCCAGAGAATCGCCCAATAAGCGCGCTGGACTCGAGTCTGACAGCTCAGGAAGCGGCCAATCGAGCCCGGCCAGAGAAGGGGGGCGCAGCGCCGGGGCTGAAGTTGGGTTGAATGGGGGGAGGGGGAATAAAGGGGGATACAAAAGAGGGGAGCTAGGACTGGGGGCGCAGGAACCCAAGCTGGGGGCGGGGGACGACCGAAGTCACCCAGGTCCGGCGAAAGGATCGCGGGCTGGACCCGGCTCCAGGCGCCAGAGAGGGAGGGGCACAGCGAGAATTTTAGGTGAGGAAGGGGAGCTGGGGTCCCCCGCGGCCCCCGAGCCCGGCCTGAGGATGCCCACGGGCCACCGAGGCTGGGGCCGTGGCCCGGCCGAGGGCGGAGGCGGCCGCGCGCCGTTGTGAGCCGAGGCCCGAGCGGCGCGGGGGGCGGGGAAGCGGCGGGAGGAGGGGATGCGGAGGGCGCTCCGGCGGCGGCGGCGGCGAGCGGGCAAGAAGGGAGGAGCGGCGCGAGCGGCCGGAGCGGCGCAGGGCCCGAGGCGTGCATGGCGCGCCCGGAGCCGAGATCCCGCGGGTCCCCCCGGAGAGCCCCCGGGGAGCCGCGGCTCTTCGGCGGGTTTCCCTCTGCCGGCTGCTTCTGAGCCCCGGCCCTCCATCTCTGGATGCTGTGCTCCGGGAGAGAAGCCCGCCTGCGTTGGGGCAGTACGGCGGTGGCGCTGCGCCGGATTCCGCCCTCCGCTTAGCCGTTCAGCGCCCGGCCGCGGTGGGCCCGCAGCCGGCGGCAAGAAGCTTGAGGCTAGCGGAGCCAGCGCGACAGCTCTCGGGACCGGCGGGTGCGGGCCAGCCACGCTTGGTTTGGGGGAAAGGGAGAGGCGAGAGGGGAAGGGCCGCACCTCAGGAGCCGGTCCTCGCCCCCGCCCCCTGCGCGGACGCGCGGAAGGCTCGGCTCGTCTTTCGCGGGGGCCACGCTCCCACTCTCGCCACGGGAGGTGGGTGATGCGGACGACAGCTCCCCCGGGATCCAGGACCCTCCCCCCCAGGGCTCCGGAGCTGTTGCTCCGCCCGCCGCCCCCTCCCCCGTGCTCTCCACCCCCCATCCCACCTCCCCACCCCTCGTAAGAAAATAATGCAGGCTGGCGCCCGCACCTCCCAGTCGCTCCCAGTCCGCTGTGAGGAAAGGGCACCCGCTGCGTCTCCGTGCCGGGACCCCCGCAGAGCCGCCCTCGCCGCCACCTCGCTCCGAAAGCTGCTGGGCTTTGCTTAGGCATTATCTGCAAGCGCCGCGCCCGGGCATTGCCAGCTCCGGGGAGGCGCCGCCCGCAAGGACACCTCTCCGTCCCGCCTCGTCCGCAACTCCGGCCCTCGTCGACTCGACGCGAGCCAGGGGTCTGGACGTCCCTCTGCGCGCGGCGCAGTAGCTGGAGCAGTCCCTGCTGCCCCAGCTCAGAGCCAACTCCACCTCGGACCTGGGACTCTTGACGCGGATTCTCAGCTACTTCTCACCTCGGGGCTACGCCTGTCTCTCCGCTCACCCTCCGTTGCCCTCCTCCACCGCTCAGGACGGGGGTGCCAAGATGCCCCGCTTCTGCGCAGGGCCCCGGGCCGCCCCCGACGTGTGACCCCAGCCTGGTCCCCCTGCTCGGCCGTCCGCCCTCCCCTTGGAGACCCCCGGCCCGGTCCCCGGGGGAGGAGGAAGACGACGAGGCCGAGGGGGGGATGTCCGGCTCCAAAAGCGTGAGCCCTCCGGGCTACGCGGCGCAGACAGCTGCGGCGCCGGCACCCCGGGGAGGCCCAGAGCACCGCTCGGCATGGGGGGAGGCCGATTCCCGCGCCAATGGTTACCCCCATGCCCCTGGGGGTTCCACCCGCAGCTCCACCAAGAAACCCGGTGGGTCGGTGACCCCGCAGCAGCAGCGCCTGGCCGGCCGCTGGCGCAGCGACGACGACGACGATCCTCCGCTGAGTGGTGACGACCCCCTGGCCGGGGGCTTCGGCTTCAGCTTCCGTTCCAAGTCCGCCTGGCAGGAGCGCGGCGGCGACGACTGCGGTCGCGGCAGCCGGCGGCAGCGGCGGGGCGCGGCCGGCGGGGGCAGCACCCGGGCGCCCCCTGCGGGCGGCGGCGGCGGTTCGGCGGCAGCGGCAGCTGCGGCGGGCGGGACGGAGGTGCGCCCCCGTTCGGTGGAGCTGGGCCTGGAGGAGCGACGGGGCAAGGGTCGCGCGGCCGACGAAGTAGAGGCTGGCGCCGTCGAGGGCGGCGAAGGGTCTGGGGATGGCTGCAGCTCAGAGGACTCAGGAGGCTCAGGGCCCGGCGCGGTGCTGTCGCTGGGCGCCTGCTGCCTGGCATTGCTGCAGATATTCCGCTCTAAGAAGTTCCCGTCGGACAAGCTGGAGCGGCTGTACCAGCGCTACTTCTTCCGCCTGAACCAGAGCAGTCTCACCATGCTCATGGCCGTGCTGGTGCTCGTGTGTCTTGTCATGCTGGCCTTCCACGCGGCGCGGCCCCCGCTCCAGCTGCCCTACCTGGCCGTGCTGGCGGCCGCTGTGGGAGTGATCCTCATTATGGCTGTGCTCTGCAACCGTGCAGCCTTCCACCAGGACCACATGGGCCTGGCCTGCTACGCGCTCATCGCGGTGGTGCTGGCCGTCCAAGTGGTGGGCCTTCTGCTGCCGCAGCCGCGCAGCGCCTCCGAGGGCATCTGGTGGACGGTGTTCTTCATCTACACCATCTACACCCTGCTGCCCGTGCGCATGCGGGCTGCAGTGCTCAGCGGGGTGCTCCTGTCTGCTCTCCACCTGGCCATCGCCCTGCGAACCAACGCCCAGGACCAGTTCCTGCTCAAACAGGTAGGAGCCCACCCCGCCAAAGGGACTGGACTGTGGGGCTTGGCAGGCCTGGGCTTGATTCCAGAGAAAGTGATCCCACCCACACCCTTGAAAGTGGTGAAAAGAGCCAGAGATGTGGCTTCTTGGTCCCCCTTGCACCCCAGTGTCTTTGTTTACAAAAGAGTGCTCTTGTATTACTTATAAAGTTCCTGGCCTGGTAGATGACGCTCCAAACTGTATCCATCAGTGCTGGGATTTGAGTAAGGAAGAAGACTTGGAGAAAATGGAGAAGTCCCCATCTCTCCCTGAGCTTCAGTCCCTGTATATACAAGAGACACTACCTAAAGTGGCACGACCCTCTAGCAGCCACCCATCCAGAGCACCACTGCTGACTTGTTAACCCAGACCTAGATAGAACATTGGGGAGGAGGGATCTGGCTACCCCTTGTCCTGTCCTAGGAAGGAGATAGGATAGCCTTCCCAGTGTCTGAGGCTAGAGGTTTGGGAGCTAGAGATATCACTGAACTTGAAGGAGGACTGACAAGTTTGTTTCCTTTACCGAAGTGCAAGGCAAGAAGGAGAAAACTTGCAGTTGGCAAAAGTGGGAGGGAGCATCTGAGATGTGTGTGGCCACAGTCCCCCTTCTGGCCTGAGCAGAAAGCTGGTGTTGAACACCATGACCTTTCCAAAGGGTGCTCCTGATCATTGCTTTTTTTTTTTTTTAAGCCCTGCTGGCACTTATTCGGCAAATCTAGAACTGTGGGCTAAGGAGTAAATAAAACTTCTGTGGCTTCAAACTTCTTGAAGAGGGACATGCTTGCCACCCAGGCCTTAGGGTAAGGTGGCCTCTAAGACATCTGTGCTTTCTCCTTTTAGCATCCTGGTATCTATCCCAATCCATGGCCTCTACTGAACCTGCTCGATTGTATGCTGTTCCATTGGACAGAGTTAAGGGGGGCTTGCTGTAGGTCAGTGTCTTGGACCTTGACCCCACGTCACTCCTTCCATCTCTTGGTATCTGCCTCCTGTCACAGAGCCTCCCCCGCCCCCTGCTGGGGATTGAACTCAGGGCCTTCTATATGCTAGGCAAGTGCTCTACCACTGAGCTACATTCCCAGCCCTCATAGAGCCTCTCCTTCTCCCTACTTTTACTACCTTCCCCAGACTTTGATCCTGTTGCGTGTTTCAACTTTCTTGGGATGCTCCCTTGTATCCCAACTTCCTGGACATGCTGAACCTGCAAGATGCTCTGCAATAGGGAGGGAGGGAACATGCGATCTCTCTGGTTCTAGGTTCCCTTTCTAGAGAATGAGAGGGTTGACTATGTCCTTTTGACTCCCAACAGCCTCTTCACCAACTGTGGGCTAAGGAGTAAATAAAACTTCACCTCCTGTTAGGAGTCTTCTCTTTCCGTTTCAGCTACATGGTGCTCTTCCTGTTCTGCATGGTTAATAGGAGAGTCAGCCATAGACAGGAGCCCTCTCCAGTGTCCATTGGTTTGCTGCCCATCCAGTGTAACCTCCTTGGATGCAAGGATCCTGAAGTATATGTTTTCCTTCCTCCACTTTCTCCCTTGCCTAGCCCAATGCAGAATATTTAGTAACAATTTAATAGCCACTGGCCAATTTGGTTGGGGTCCAGTGAATGGAGTAGGTGGAGTTGTTGATGTTAAGTTAAAGTTTTTCTGATCTAGGATCAGAAGGAAAAAAACCCTTTAGAGATTGGCTTTGAACTTGAGAGGGAAATCTTTTGAGAGGTGGTAGTTTGAAAATATTTTCTACTATTGTTAGTGCTTATAAAGGCTCCAACTCTTTTGGCCCGAGGACCCATGCTCTCAGATAAGTGTTGTATCTCTGTTCTTGCCTTTGGTATGTGTAGTTTTTTTGAAGAGGGAAGGGTATGTCATCTATATGGCACAGTGGCGATTTCCAGGAAAGCTGTGGGTATTTCTGAACCTGTCTTGGAATACAGGGCCTGATTACAGCAATAGGCAGTCCTGGACATAGGATTTCAGGAGACTGGAGTCAGATCCCAAATGACGGAGCTGAACCTAGGCACTGCAACTCTGTCTTGGCATGAAATGCCATTGCCACAGGGTCTGACTTGCCTTCTGGTTCCTCAGGCAATATTCTCCTTTCTAATCCCGCCCCCACCAGTTCCCACTCCATACTTCTCTACCCATTTCTTTTCGACCCAAGACTTTTTCTTGGCTGAAGGATTTTGGATGGATTTACACTTAACTTTTGATGATCTGCTCTGAGTACAGCAGAGTTTGTTTGAAATGGTCCAAGACAAGGGAATGTAAACATTGTTTCTATTTGGCTTCAGAGAAAACTGTATCTTTTTTTGTTTGTACTTGATCTACCTTTCTGATTATGCCTTTATAAAATTCCTCTTTCTTCAGCAAAGTGTGCTGGGTGGTGGGGAACTATTAGTGGGAGTATTAGTATCCCAGAGTGTATTTTTGAGGTGGCTTGGTTAGATACCTTTTTTTTTTTTTTTTTTCAAATGAAGACACTTCTCCAGAGAGAAGGGTAACAGTGAATGGGTTCTAGGTTTGGGGCTTTAGGAATTTCTCTCCACGATGCCTTAGACACACAGTAGGTCCTCATTAAACTGTTTGGGCATTTCTTAACTTCTCTTGCAAGGCTGGCCCCCTCCCTCCCCATGTCCAGGTTCTCAGCCTCATTATCTGACCCGTGCATGTTGTTATTCTTCCCCAGCCCCTCTTACATTTGGGCTCTACGTCTTGGCTCCAGTTAGAAGATGCATTTGTTTTCTTAACCAGTTGGTTTTTATTCAAGAGACAAACAAGAGGCAAGGTGGGGCAGCCCCTGTGTGGGACGGTGTTCCTTCCTTCCCCTTCCCTGTATCTCTGGCTCTTGCCTTCCCCTGGGATCTGCCACCCTCCTCCTCTGCCCTTTCCCTCTTCCTGCCTATGCCTTGCCTCCTTCCTTTCTCTGCTCTCCCGGTGCGGCCCCCTGTTGCTCTCAGCCCACTTCTTCTTTCCTCACCCTTCCTGCTTGCTCTGCTGCCCTCTTTCTTAGTCCCGTTGGTTCTGGTTCGTTTGTGGCCTTGGCCTCTCCCGTGCTCTTGTCTTGCTGTCGTCTCCTCATCGCCTCACGGGGGTACAGTAGGAGCGTCATGGGGTTGTTTTTCTTCCTCTTTTGCCTGTTAGAAGTCCCTCTGCTACACCCATACCATAAATAACACTCGAGCATCTGCCAAACACATTCCTCACTTGTGTTAATAGGCTGCAATGATGCTGGAGCCTGTTGCCATGGCAACCTCATTTTTGTTTGACTGTATCCCACTCTGCTACATAAAGCCTCTGTGCTCACTCACACACAAACAAGCACACTCCACAACTATGATCCATGCTTGGATGTCAAAGATTATTTTGGAGATAGCATCTTTGGGCCCTGTGGAGGCAAGGTGGTCATTTGAACCCAAGGAGATGGTCACCTCCTCCAAGTATTACCCTAGTAGGTCATAATGAATGGAGAGACCTGCTCAAATGTTTGGTATTATCATTTCACAGCCACCTTGAACCTGTTTGATGTGATTTCTGAGAAGATTCTGACCCCAAATGGGTAGCCGGGAGAGTAGAGTGCAGGGTCCTATCCCCTCCCAACCCTGTATTACTTTTGCTCCTTACTCCCTGCCTCCTGCCCTTTAGGAGAAACAGTGATTTCCTGCATTTCTTCCTTTATGCCTGTTTGAACTCACAACTGTCACCAGTTGTTCCAGCGACCAGAATGGCACAGGCACTGTGTGGGTGATGTTCTGTGACTGAACACGTGTGAGTGTCTGTTGTGCGGAGGCAAGGGATGGGTGGGGGTAGGGACATGGGCCAGGAATCCACCGCTGTGGCTGCCCCAGGGCATGTGCACGTGTGAGCCAGCACATGTGCCTGCCCATGTCTGTCTTTCTGGCAGGCGTGCTGGCCCGGGTGATGGGGGTGGCCTGAGAAGCTTTTGTGTTCACTTTGAGAGGAGATCCTCCCAGCTCTGTCCTGTTTGTTCTTGGCTGGTAGCTGGCTTCTCATGGCTGGCCATTAGCCTTTCTGATTCTGGGCCTTTCTCATTCTTCTGACCTTGACCTATGACTCCTCAGGGACTGTATACACTCCCTCCCATTTCCATAGTGCATTTGGGGGCTGGATTTGAGCGGGCAAACCCCTTCACCCCAAGGAATACATCCTTCCCTTTTTCCTGCTGTGCAGTGGCTCAGCAGCATGATAAATGCTATTGGAGTGCCACCTCCTTGATCTGGAACTTGGCCCAGTGGCCAGTCTGGAGGATCACTGTGGCTGCCCTATGTGCACTGCTGGGTGGTGTGGAGGAGACTTCTGCCACAAAGACCAGGTCATTGTCTGCCACCAGTGACTTCCCCTGTCACCTGTGTTTCTGTGCAGGAGAAATCTGACCACAAGTGAATTCCAAATAGCACCAGCAGGCTTGGGGTGGGGCTTGACTTTGAATTTGGAGTGGAGAAGGGTCTGCTTGTCTTGATAATTGCATTTAGCAGTTATATTTGCTAGTTGTCTTTGATTGTGTTGCCTACTTCTCCAGGCAGCCAGGAGGGAATGTGTGAAGAGGAACAGAAGCGGCTCCTGGCAAGAGCTAGAGCAGGTTTCTGGGTAGGGGATGTTCTGCTAGACTTCGAGGGTACCTTGATCACTGTGGGGAGGACTTCAGGAATGGTGGAGACTCAGCCAAGGAGCAGAATGCCTGGCTGCTGTATCTGCAGGAAAGTTCACTGTTAATAATTCAATTTAAGTTGTGATTTGCAAGCAAGAGCATGAAGTCTCTGTGCTGTGGGACACAGAACAGAGTGCTCCCATTTGTCTGTGAAGAGGGCACAGGCAGTTATTAAGCTCAATCATGGAAACCTATTTGACCTTGCAGAAGAGTTTTAAAAATCAGTGTAAAAGCCTTGGACAAAAGCTCTCTTCTAGAGACAGACAGTCCCTGGACATGAGTCCCTGTGTCAGAGAGTGTAGCTGGCAGCAGAACAGA